TTTTTCAAAACGAAGAACCAGAGGTGCTATTTTGAATGCGTGGAATGGGCGTAGGTTTAAAAGGTTGAGACCATTTGAGGCGTGGCGTAATTTCTTTTTTGTGAATTCTAGGGCAACACAAGCACCTCAAATATTGTTTTAACTCATGAACCATCAAGTATTTAATTTCATTAAATTTGTGTAAATTAGAGATTGATTGGATATTTTAAGTGAGAACTAACCGTGTATGTATTTATCGAGTTACAAATTTCGTTCTTACATAAATGCGGTAGCATGTTAGAAATATTAATTAATAGTTTGTTACCCATTTTGTAGAAGTGTTTTAGAACCCCTAAAAGTAGACAAACAACCAATATTCTCAGAATCGGACGATGATTAAATCGGTGAAACTATAGACTCAATGGTTTTACTGGTCGGATCAGTGATTCCAGTTTATATATATATATATATATATTCATTTTACATGTATAATATAATTATACATAATTATTTATCATTTTCTATGAATACAAGATATTAGACACGACTTAAATACATATATATATAAAAAGAATAAATAAATATAGAAAATACAATATCTTATGTCTCAAAATGAGAGTTAATATTTTAATGTTATAAATTAAACAAATTTAACGTCCAACTTTCCATTATGAAATTCTGTACAACCATTTGAATAATCTTGGTAGGTCGTGCGTGTGAAAAACAAAGGACTTATAAATTGTAACTAATTATTGTATTGAAAAACTGGATTCCATTACAACTATTTAACAACACGGTCAAATCATTTTGAAATTTTTCAGATTCCCGCAAATCATTCTAGCTACTAAGATTTTCAAGCAAATCAGAAAACCATTAGAATCGAGACTAGTTGATGAGTTCAACTGGTTTTGGACCAGTTTCACACGGTTATAGGTTGATTCTTCATCCAGTGGCCCAATTGATTGATGTGAAGGTCAGTTTCCCGTTGAAACGGTTGGTTGGGTTCTATCCGGTTTTTTAAAAACATGAAAACACCTAAAACACATACTTTCACGTCTCTCGAGTTGGTTCTTCATATGCTAGTGATATTAGCCATTTGCCATCTTCATACCCGAATATGTTTAAAATATGTACAAAATTATTTGCTAAATCGAACAAAAAGTTGGAAGTGGCCAAGTGGGCATCTTCACTCCTAATAACTAGTAAATTCTTAACAACAACTAATATCTATAAATAATTCATGAATTAAATGAGAAGGAAACAACCTGTAATGGCCGCTTGAGGCAAGGGTAACCTATACCTCTTGTTTTTGCCTATATAAAGGGTGTGAATTGTTGGGTTTCGAGCCAAGAAATTCAACAAAAGTTTTTGAGAAAAGTGCATTTTTCGTCCTGTAAGTTTACCCCTCTGGACAATTTAGTCCTCTTTGAATAGCCATTTTTAATTTCGTCCTCTAACTTTTAAAAAAGGTTGCACATTCGTCCCCGACTCGCCGAAAACCCGTTAATTGCCCGAAAACACGCACGTGATGGAAATTGACGGCTCTTTCGGCCTACGTAGAGCCGGATTTCACACGCGGACGACCTCAGTTACAAGTGGCGGCCGAAATCAAAAGAAAAAAAAAAATTTCACGTGTCTACACACGTGGAAATGGAGGGAAAAACAGATGAAAAGCAGGAACATGAACAGTCACTTCACTTCTCCCCACAATCGCGTTCCCAAATTCTCTGTGAAGAAAAAAACCCTCCATCTACATCGTTCTCAAATTCTTTCTGAAATTCCGACGGTAGAAAAATCGAAAGCTCAAAATCAAGTATTGAGAAGCAAGAATCCAAATGATTCCTGAGAAGGTGTTCATCCGGAAGAAGATTCGTATGCACAATGGACCTCCCACATACGGTCAGTGATATTATCTTTCTTTGTTTATGGAAAAAATTCGTGCAATGTAATGTCGCAGAGTATTTCGTACAATTAAAATGAAATGAGGATCTAAATTCCGTACATTATAATGAAATTAGGGTTCTTTGCAAATCGTAATTTCGTTTGCAAGCCGTAATTTTGAAAACGAATTAGAGTTCTTTTGCAAACCCTAATTCTAAATACAAATTAGGGTTCTTTTGCAAACCCTGATTCTGAATATAAATTAGGATTATTTTGTAAACCTTATTTTGAAGACAAATTAGGGTTTTTTTCTAACCCTAATTTAGGTTACTGTAATGTGGTTAAAACCCCAAATTTCATTCAAAATACAGTTATACATTCTTCAATTGCTTATTGTTGTGGTTATCTGAAAATCCCTAATTTCTCTCTGTTTGTTGTTGTTTGGTTGACTTGGGTTTGGTTCCATAGAAAGTAGAGATCACTTAACTATCCAACTTTGGTGTGGAGGTCAATTTTTGCATACTCCAATTGACCATTATCTTGGGGGTTCTAGTATGATTTTTGACTGGTTAGAGAAGTCAAAATTGTGTCTTGATACATTGGGTTGTCTTAGTGATCTATTTGGTTGTGTAGGAAATAGAAGGTATTATTTCAACTCGGGTGCTACATTTAACTTACTGAAAGATGATGCAACTTTATGTAATTGGGCTAAATGTTTCTATACTAATAGATTGATGGACATTCACATTGATCTAATGGATGAAGGTCAATTTGTGCCTACTTCTAAGTATGATGAAGGTGGTTGGGTAGAATTGGAGAAAAATAATGAGAGTGAAGCAGAGAGCAGTGAAACAAGTGAGAGCAGTGAAACAAGTGAGAGTGAAATGAGTGAAAAGACAGATAATGAGGGTTGTGAAAAAAATGAAGGCAAGGGTGCTGAGGTACCTGATAGGGGTGATGATGGGTGTGATAGTGATGGGGGTGATGAGGGTAGTGAAACTATAGACAGTGACTTTGATCTTAGATCAGAAAGTAGTTGTGGGAGGGATGATGCAGACTTTGATCACAATGTAGACAAATCTGTGGAGTCTGAAATTGAATCTGAGTCTGATAGTGGGGAAGAAGATTTAATTGAAACTCCACTTGATTTTGATGAGTTTTGTTCAGATACTGAAACAGTTGAAAAGAGAGAAATTGTATTTAATCCTAGCAATATCTATGATCCAACATTTGCACTAGGAATGGTCTTTGGTACTAGAGCAGAGTTTAAGAAAGCTGTACAGTCACATGCTATTAAGTCCAAAAGAAGTGTGAAGTTGAAAAAAAATGATAAGATTAGGGTCCATGCAGTATGTGATTCAGAGGAGTGTCAGTGGAAAATTCATGCCCTGAAGATTCCTGACCAGGAAGCCTTCAAGATAACCACTTACAACCCCACTCATACATGCCCTATATCTTTTCATCTTAAAAATATTAAAAGTAAGTGGTTGTCTGAGAGGTACTTGAGCAAGTTTCAAGCTGATCCCTCAAGAAAAGTAAAGGGATTTAGAAGGGAAGTGGTTCATGAGTTGGGGGTTGGGATTTCTAGGCACCAGGCTTATAGGGCTAAGAAGAGAGCTCTAGAGGTACTTGAGGGAAATCCAAATTCACAGTATGAAAAGTTGTGGGATTATGCCCAACAACTGAGGGATACAAATCCTGGTTCAACTGTGATTCTAGATGTTGAAGAAGATGATGGTGTTCCTAGGTTCTCCAAATTCTATGTTTGTTTTGCTGCACTGAAGGAAGGTTTTAGGAGTGGTCTTAGGCCAATAATAGGAGTTGATGGCTGTCATTTGTCTGGACCCCACAAGGGTATTCTTCTTACTGCTGTAGGTGTTGATCCTAACAACAACATATATCCCTTAGCTTATGCTGTGGTTGGTAAAGAAGCTAGGGATACTTGGGAGTGGTTTCTGATTGCATTGAAACATGATCTTGGCATTGTGCATGACAGTGATTGTACTTTCATTAGTGATAAACAGAAAGGGTTGATTGTGGCTTTTCAGAATGTTTTTCCTAACTCAACACATAGATTTTGTGTTAGACATCTGCACAATAACTTTAAAAATGCTGGTTACAGAGGGGCTGCATTTAAAAATGCTTTGTGGGCTGCTGCACAGGCAGCTACTGTGGGTGAGTTCCATTTTAGAATGAGACAAATGAGAGAAATATGTGTAGAAGCTGTTGACTGGTTCAATGACAAGAACCCTGCACATTGGTCAAAATCACAGTTTGAGGAAAAACCAAAGTGTGACATATTGTTGAATAACTTGTGTGAGAGTTTTAATGCATGCATTGTTGATGCTAGAGAGGAACCCATAGTGGCTAAGCTTGAATGGATCAGAATGTACTTAGTGAAAAGGCTTCAAAGAAATAGGGATAGGGCAGAGTTAAGATGGAAAGGCAATGTGTGTCCAAAGATCATTAAGACAGTGGAGGCTAATATGGCAAAGTTTGGTGACTGCATGCCTATGAAAAGTGACAACACTCACTATCAAATAGAGTGTTATGGTGGAGGTCAGTATGTGGTAGACTTGGAAAAGAAAACTTGCACATGTAGGTTGTGGGACTTGAGTGGGATACCATGCAAGCATGCATGTAGTGCAATTGTATCTCAAAAAGGCAATGCAGTTGATTATGTGCATGACTTCTATAGTGTGGAAACATATAAAAGAGTTTACAAACCAGCCATCCTAGGTATTAACTGTCAGATGTTGTGGAACCAAACCCATTTCATTCCACCTTTGCCTCCCACATTTGGGAGAGGTGCAGGTAGACCTAAGAAAGCAAGGAGGATTGATCCTGATGAGAAAGGAGAGAAAAGACAGAAAATGAAGGCAAAGATTCAAATGAAGATGAAGAGGCAGCAGACAAGTTTGAAATGTGGAAAATGTGGCAATGTGGGTCACAATGCCAGATCTTGTGGCAAGAAAAACCTTTCTGATGCCAAGAAGGATCAGAGCCCACTAGCTAAAGCAAGCCAGACAATTGTAAGCAAAATTACAGCTTTTATGTAAAATATGTTTTAATTTTTATTTTTTTCAGTTTTGTTATTTATTGTTACAAATTAAGAGGGCTTATTTATGTTTTCATACTTTTGCAGTTGCAAATTAAGAGGGCTAATGCTGCAAGACAGGAGAAAGCAGCTAAGGCTACTGCAAAAAAGGCCAAAGAAAATGAAAGGGAAGCAAAGAAACAGAAACAAGGTTTAAGCATTGATAAGCAGGTGGTACTTTATTCATTTTTCTTTTCATTTCATTTAATTACATTATTAACAAATGTGTCTGATTAACAACTTGTTGTTTCTTGAACAGAAACAAGGCTCCACCTCCACCAGAGAGAAAGAGGTATTACTGACTTTGTTAATTTTTCTTTGTAATTCATTTATGTTATGGTCACTGACTAAAAAATGGTGCCATGACTGTGTTTTTTCTTCAACAGAAAGAAGGGCCAAGCATGGCACCACCTGCTCCATTTGTAGAAGAAACTGACTGGGATGATGAGGGTTTTGTGTCACAATTGACACAAGAGTTTTGTGCAACTCCACAGCCTTAGATGACAAAGGGACCCACACCCCTTGAACAACTGAAAATGGGATTAGGAGATGATTCATACTTTAGAGGTAAGCAATTGGAGGCCATCACTGCAAGAGATGGAACTCCAGCAATGTTTGAAAGGATTCAAAATGACCTCTCTTTTGGTAGCTCATCTCAGAAGTTGAAGCAGATCAAAAAGGAGAAGGGAGAAAATTCTAGAAAGAATTGAATTTCAGTTGATTTGATAGGAAACTGAATTTAGTTGATTTGGTTGTAAAACATTTGCAGGATTTGTTTGTTTATTTTGGTGGGAAACTGAATGGCAGGATATTGTTAGATTTTTTTGGGATATTGTTAATTTTGTTTGGAAACTTAATGGCAGGAAACTTAATTTTGTTTTGGTGTTAATTTTGTTATGCTTGGTGGTTGTAAAACACTTGTGTTGTGTTATTTTTTTGTTTAGTTTATGGAACACATAAGTTGTGATGGTTGTGATCAGTTATGATTATTGTTCTACTTTTGAATTTGTTTGTGTTGAGTTGTGATGGTTGTGATCAGTTATGCATTGCCTTTGAGTCATATCAGTTGAGTTTAGTTGACAATGAAATGGTTGAGTTGTGCAGTTGAGTTTTGTTTTGCAGTGAGGATAGGAAGCTGATGAGTCTGGGCAAGCTGATGGTTATGATCACTTTTTTTTTTTGTTTATTTAATTTATATGTTCCAATAACATGTAGGCTGGTTGTTGGTTTAGGAAGTTGGGTTTACTAAAATGGCCTTTCAAATTTAAAATAAAGGTAGGACAACTTCTCTTCTTCAAACATAAACCTTGTTGCCAAAATGATTGATTTGTGTTTTGGCAATTTGCACATACCAATTGAACAATTTGTAGTTAACCTTAAAAAAGTAGAACAAACCATGCCCCATACTCTTGCCTGCACACTGTATGAATCTTTCATTCATCACACAGCAAAAAATGTTGATACATTGAAACCACAAGTGAGACAAGTCTGCAAACTAAAGGAAATTTCATTTCATTGAAACCACAAGTGCATTACATAGATGTTCCGAAATGAAGTACACACAAAATACAAGAGTACATAAAAGATTACAAGAGAAAATAAACACATTACACAACCTTCTTTAATCCATAGCCTTCACCTAATTCTATATAGCAAAAATACACACAACAAAGTTGCTATAGCCAATGCAAACCCCATTTTCATCTCCATTTTTTCTTTCTTTTCAACCAACCTCTTGTTCAATGCTTGCAATTTTTCAACTTTTTTCTGCAATTTTTCAATCTTCTCCTTCAGTTTTTCAACCTTCTCCTCCAATTTGGTATTCTCAAATTTGAAGTTTTCATTTGCTCTCTCCAGGGCCTTCATCTTCTTCACTAACCCAGGCATGATTTTTTCAGGCCGGTCACAGGTAGGAGGGTCGACCCAAGAGAAAAAATCACAGCCTCCATTCTGTACATTACCAAAAAAAAAAAAAAGGTTAAAACAAGGTTGATTTTTTCCTCCATATTCTGTACATTAACAAGGTTAAAACAATGTATAATACAGCCATGACACAATCAAACACCCTTCACACAGCCGTGAAAAAACCCAACATTGCAAGAATCAGAACACAATCAAACACAGAAGCAACTCTACCAAAAATATCATACAATTCTACCCTAAATATCATATAATTCGTCGTTAACAGACCACCGTACCTTGTACTCAAGGCAAGAATGAAATCTCCTGCCCGGGTTGTCGGCCGTCCATGATGTGCGAATAACATCCATTTTTCTGCACCGACATTCCAAGAAACCGGTATAATGCGACGACTTAGACATGTTGAAAGTGAACGAAATCGACAATTTTGAAGAACGAAATCGACAATTTTGAAGATTAGGGTTCTTGAAGATTTGGGGATCTTGAGATTTGGGAAATTAGGGTTGAAGGAAGATGGAAATGGTTCAAAAACAGTAGGCCTGACTTATTTTATCAACGTTCCATTTCCACGTGTGTATACACGTGGAACTTTTTTTTTTTTCTTCTTTTCATTTCTGCCGCCACGTGTAATTGAATTCGTCCGTGTGGCCGAAAGAGCCGTTAATGTCCATCACGTGCGTGTTTCCGGGCAATTAACGGGTTACCGGCGAGTCGGGGAAGAATGTGCAACCTTTTTTAAAAGTTAGAGGACGAAATTAAAAATGGCTATCAAAGAGGACTAAATTGTCCAAAGGGGTAAACTTACAGGACGAAAAATGCACTTTTCTCAAAGTTTTTTTCCAACTTTGAATGCTTGTTTTCTTAAGTTCAAGCCTAGTACTCCATAATTAAATATGCTACTCTCCACTGCCCGTACAAGGCGATTGTGTTTTAGTGACACTTAATTTGTTCTCACCGACCTCGATCTTGATATTATAGCCATCTTATTTTTATTTTTTCTCTAAGGTTTCACCGACCTCCACTTCCATCAAGCATCACTACAGAATAAGCATAATGCATCATTTAAACATGCACAACTTGATCAAAAGGAAAAGAGGCTTCATCCAAACTTGTCAATTCACATCCTCATCAGGACAGTCAATCCAAAAACTCACAACAAAAATGAAAATAGTCAGTTGCATCACTAATTGCAGAAAAGTACCACATCCATGCCTAAAAGAGAAAAAAAAATTACAAAAACCACCCTTGAGATTCGGGTACTTACAAATAAACCCACATAAATTTCAGAAAGAGCCCATGAGGTTTGTCGCTATCTACCATATGCCCCTCGAAAGCATTTCTAGAGATCAATCGATAAACCTCACGGGTCGAGATTTATTAATCCGGGCCCACCTCTGACAAAAAAATAAAATTAATAAACGGGCCCAAGGCCTTCCATGTCAGCACTGACAATGGCCTTGAAATCCTTGTCAGCCTCGTCATACCGCTGGTCAATCACTGAGAAGCGGATCTTTGTCCCCTTTTCGACTCTCTTAGAAGTCCCTTCCTCCTCAAAATACGGGTTCTCTCCAGGAACAAAGTCGAAGCCCGGCATCTTGCGCTGGGAGAGGTACACCTTATCCGCTGGTCCGCAACGCAGGAAAACCCCGTGCTTCATTACCCTGTGGACAACCCCATCGAGTACTTCCCCCACAAGCATCTTGAAGGTCACGCATGTGAACTCCACAGGGAAAAGGACGCTAGTGGGCCGTTCTTGGCCCAACATCCCTGGGCCCACACGATCCAGGGTTGTCACAGCCATAAAGTAGCCCATATTTGGGGAAGCCTTTTTTGTGGCAAAGTCGTTGAGGAGTTGCACCACGATTGCCTTCTCGATGCCCGTGCCATCTTGGTCAAGGTTCGAGGGGTGGATTGAGACGTTCCACGATAATTGGCTTCTCAGAAACATTTTNCATATTTATGATAGAATATAATAGATAAAACAAGAAACACTAAAGTGAAGCACAAAGACGATGCAAAAGCACAATTTGGCACAAAACTTAACAAGTGTTTGAAACATATAGTACTAGCAGGTTGTATGTTTAGCTTTCAAAAAGTCTAATGATCTGCCCTACTAAATCTAGGTATAAATTACTTTTCTTTTGCGGAAAATTTAACAAAAAAAATGACATGAATTATTAATGTAATAGTCGAACCGCTGGAGTGACCAACTTCAACAAATTAAGATAACTTATTTTTACTTATATTAACAATCTGTATAGACCACATTGCAATATTCATGGACATTGGATAGAGAAACCATTCATATGCATCTAACTGACTAGGACAAGCTCAATTAAAGAAAGCTGACATGTTCCTATACCTAATTAAGTGCAAATCTAAACTAACCGCAGTTGATGATATAATTCGTCTTCTGGATTGTGATCTTAGCAAACTCAATAGATCTGCTAACGATGGATGAATGATAATGAACACAATCCAATTCTACATAGAGAAATGCTAAACTATAATGGCAAATAAAAAACCAAATAAACATTATTCAGTTTCTGTCATTACAAGTCTTCAAATTTTCTAGGGCTACCCAAAGAATAGGCATTTTTTTTTATCTCCTGGAAGAAATTTTACAAGAAGTCTAATTTCCTCGTATCGTGTCTATTTTTTTTTTTTNAGAAATAAAAGATATTTTGATTAGAGCAGAATCATTGTAGGATTTTCTACCTAATAAGAAAATTGAGCATGATAACAATATATGCAGGGCCAGGTAACATGTAAAAAGCCAAAAACAACTAAATGAAGGTCCATAAGAAGTACTGAAAAGAATTAAACCTCCAACACTAGTGAAGTACTCATAATAAACTCACCTTCACCTTGCCAAATGGTTTGATGTCTCGGTTTCAAGAGCTTGAAAATCACAGTGACCAAAAATCCCTGCAACAAAATTGATCATCTCCAAGTTCTTCCCATTATTTTTCTGGATATGTATAAACAATCTCATTAGTTCTTGATTTTCAAGTAATACACCAAGAAGAGCAACTAACCAGTAACCCGCAACTGACGAGTTATAAAGTCGCCAACCAATGCCGGCACCACCAATCCAAGAACAACAACAACACAATCAATGAATTATGCACAATATAAATTCAACGAAAACAACTTGAATACAAACATCTTCTTTTCATATAGACCATAAATCAAAGAAAACTAAAAACAGATAACACAGAAAAGTGATGTCTCAAAAATTCATTCATGCCATTTTTTCTAATTGATTTATAGAAAGAAAAGGAAATTCCACAGATATGGTTAGGACTAAGGGGGCTCTGTCTTTGACCCAAAACAAAACCATCGCCAACTTTTTCCTCATCTCTTTCCCTTTTCTTCTATTTATTAATTATCACTAAAATCATAAATTAATATTTGTATATTAAAGCCAGAATTTCATATAAATGTTTTTTTTCTTTGTCACCAATTTATCAAGATAGAAGAGACGCATACAAGGAAGAATTTACAAGAAAGCAAGAGCTGGGTTAGAGAATTTGATGTAAAAAAACACACAAGTCAGCTTAGCATTTTCAATATTTGAGTAAATTTACTAAATATATTCAATTACTCAGCCCTAAACCTCAAATTCAATATGATAAAGTGTATTTAAAAAAAAAAACAAAAAAACATTAATTCAATCATGCCACGGGATGAATCAAAGCAAAATAAATAAATAAATTGATTACTTTTCTTCCCGGGGAGTAATGTGGGCAACTCCGAGAAAATCTCAGTGATCACGGCTGATTAATTATATAGAAATACATAAGAAAAAAAAATGCGAAAGCCCTACTCAAGAATCGACCTAAAAGCAATCAAGACTCGAGCTTTTACGCATTCTTCATAAAGCAAACATTTTATTTTTCAAGAGAATTGAGGCAAGTTAAAAGGGAAAAACACCCAAAATCAAGCAGGTCTTACCCAATGATTCAGCTTCTATGAGCTTCTGTGACTAAAACTCAATCCTCGCGGAGGAAAAGAGTAGAGGAGGAATATTAGCAATGTGCTACTTATTTCTGATGGATAAAAGTATCCTTTTTAATTTAGATTTTTGCCGATTCCCCCACACTAAAGTAAATCTGCGCGCTTTAGGTATAACTAGTATGTACCCCGTGCGATGCACGATCTGTATTCATTTTGAAGAATATTATAAATTGAAGTTTATTAAGAAATAAAAGAGTGAACTGTATTCATTTTGAAGAATATTATAAATTGAAGTTTATTAAGAAATAAAAGAGTGATAATTCATAGTGAAATTGTTAAATAATAAAATATTCCTCATGAAACAAAATATTTATTATTAAAAATCTCCTTATACACAACATCATTAATTTGTTAACTCGACAACTTATTGTCCCAACAAACTAATATTTCCAATCATTTACTATTACTTACACGCGAAACAGCAACATATAATTGGCCGTCACTAAAAATCGATTTTTTTAAGAACATACAACGCACGATAAAGACTAACCTGACTCTTCTTTATCTATTATTTACACGCGAAACAACAACATTTAATTAGACGTGACTAAAAATTGATTTCTTTAAGAACATGTCAACGCACAATAAAGACTGATTCTAACACTTAAATGAAACTCTAATAACAGAAGGAACTGGTGCTGCTGGAACTTAAATGGAGTCCTAAGATGGATTTATTTATAATATAATAATTTACTTAGTTGTTAGTTTATCATTTTAATATCGATTATACTTGATTAGCAAAATAATATTTACTAATATTTTTATACTTTTTTATCTTGTTAAAAAAAATTGATCATGTATGTTTAAAATTTTAAAAACACCTAAAAATGTTATATAACATATGTAAGATTATCTAAAATATTATGTATTATTCTTAAAAAAATGTGAGGTCACCTAAAAATTTTCTAAATTATTTTGTAAGTAAAACATGTCTAAAAAAATTTTTTAACACAAACATATATATAACATGTTTAAAAAAATATTACTAATTATATTCGTGAATAACATGTATACGTGTACAAAATATGCATGAACAATATATATTACAACCTACAAAACATTAAAATTTACATCACGCTAATTTTTATGAGAGAGATTTATATAGTAGATATAAAATATAAAAACATTAGTAATTAGACATTGCTTCTCGCTAATTTTTTCAAGCCGAACAATTTTTAAATGGACAACCGCCCTATTATAGGTCTAAAACTTTTTATACAATACATTATATATGTATATATAGATATAGATTTTGCATAACAGATTTATATTTTGTCTATAAAGAAAATAGAAAATTCATTTACTATACAATTTTTAACCGAACCGAACCGATAACAATTTTTTTTTTTTAAAAAAAAAAAACTTCTTAAAAACAATTGTAAAAAATAATGCCATAAAAAAGGGTTTTGTGTACATCTTACACAAAAAAAGAGTTTGTATATACCTCATAAAAAATCATTAATTTCCAAAACCTGCTATAATGAAGAAACATATTTAAATATTACTATAAATTTGTATTTTGTGTATATAAATGGCAATTCGAATAGTTCATTCTAATAAATATGATAATATCAAAAAGATCCTCAAAAATGAGAACTCCAAAATTGTGGCCATATAAATTTAAATATTAATATAAAATTGTATTTTATGTATATAACATATATGCTCATCTAAATCAAAGGTTCTAATAAATCTGTTAAAAAAAATCATCCATAAATGAGAATTCCGAAATCAGCTACATATAACTATTTATATAATCTTTTCCTGCAAAACAACTGTCAACATAATTAAAATAAACTAAGAATTGACAAAAACAAACACAAATTGAAAGTTAAATTATATGAAAACTATACAATTAATGATTTATTTTTTATTGATATTATTTCCATCTATAGTAGGTAATTAATGTTTTTTACGGGAAATGATTTCTAAAAATGAATTAACCTTTTTTTTTCTATTATATATATATATAGATAATTTAAGTTTGTAATAGTGAAGTTATAATTTGTGTTAATATTGCAAATTGATTTTTATAAAATATATGAGGTAATATCTACTAAAATAATATTAAGCATGATATATAATTTGTTGGATAATATGGGTGTTAAAATTGTTTATTCTTATATTTGTGATGTTGATGGTTTTGTTCTTATGTTCTCTTAGATCGGATGTGATGATGATGATGAAACAAAATTTTCGGCAGATTCCACAAAAACGGAAATGTATGCACAAACAACGGGAATGCATGAGAGAGTCCTACGGCAACATGGTAGAGTCCAAGAAAAATGGGAACTGCATCTCCAAACAATATGGTAGAGTCCTACGGCAATTAATCCAACGGGATTTCAAAATCTATTAATATATCATATTTTCTTTCTTACCTAATTCAAATACGTGCATGAAAAAAATTTAAAATTAAATTTTAAGGGAAAAAACAGGTTTTAAGCGGTAAAATGAAATAATTTTTCAAACATTTTTTCTTCTCTCTATTATATAGTAATAGATTCGCCAACAAAAGCTATTTCAAGTTTATTCCTGTTAAAACTCTTCGTTTGTTAATTTAGTCGAGTTTGAATAAAAAATTAGACTTTTTTAATAATCGAACGAAAACATGCTCGTTCGTGAATGTTTGGTAATGTTCACGAACATTAATTTATTATAATATTATTTTATTTTTTATATATCTACATGATATTTTTAATAAAAATCTAAAATATTAAATATTTTATTTCGATTTCGAACGAACAAATTTTGAGTTAATCAAACATATTTAAAAAATACAACTTCCATCATTCCGCCAGGCTGCTCGAATATGATGAATATCACGTCATTTAGGTCTTATTACTTTTGCATACAAAACACTGAAACACATCAATGAAAAAATTTGTTTCATTCTATTCTCACAATCATTTTATTCCTCAACTCATTGAATTCCTATGCTTTCTTGAATTGTTGATTGTTTATGAAATAATTTACTCAACTTTATTTCATACTCAAAATCTAACTCGACTTTAACTCAACCCCACTATCTTTAATATTATTTATATAATTAAATAATATAAACCAATCATTCTTACATATCACATCAATTTTAATTCATTATTCATCCACTCACATAATTTTAACTACCTATTACTTCCAATCATTTATCTCCTACTTTTATATCAAATCAATTTTAATCATTTTATTTAAAATATTATTTTAATTCATTCTAAAATTCCACTAACAACTAATTATATCACTTTTTCAAAATTAACTACAGTTAACCAAAATGACTCATTTTGAACAAATTATTTCATAAACAATCAAGCCTAAATTTGTTATTGTCATTTTACAGGAAAATGCACACCAAAACCAGGTGGCATTTTTCCAACTGGTTTTGGTACAATTGTTCAAATCCCAGTGCAACGATATATTAACACGGTCACACGGAAGATCTTCAAGGGGAGAACACAAATATCCACAAAAAAGAAACAGAAAAGAAGGCACCAAGAACAACTACACACACATACTTATAAACAGAAATATCCACCAACTCCATACAAACAACTCTCTTAGTGAGAAAAAACTTTTAACGTAATATACAGAGATTCGTAGATCATACATTGCTTTTTGCTAATGCCAGAGCTCAAACACATGTTTGCCTTTTTCCAAGCAAACAAATATCACCCAGGTCCAATTGCATTACCTCTTCATTAAGTTAGTTGCCAAGCTCTGCAAAAAAAACCACATAGCCTCCACTTTTTCCTTTAGCCACAATCCAGATCTCCAACCAAGAAGACTACAGTTACCTTAACTACGAAATTTTCCATCTCTTTCGTAAAGGCCGTATTCGTAACTAAAAAGATACAAAAAAAGAAAAAAAAGAAAAATTGGCTAAACCTGGGGTACTTTGTATTATTAGTACCTCCACAACTCCTTTGCATTTATACTCACCCACCAATACTAATATCTCAAAAGGTGTTTCCCGCAATCAATTCGAACAAAGTCTAACCAAAACCCGTAAAGCGGCTATAAATCAACCCCATCAAGCCCGTTCAAAGACAGTGGGCCCAGCCCATCTCCATCTATACTCGCCAGCACCCTGGCCTCCTTCAGCTCATCATCCTCTACCCACCTAACAGCATAAACCATGAACCTAACCACCACACCAATCTCAACCCTAGACATGTCCTCCCGAACATGGGCCGGATTCTCGCCAGAGACAAAATGGTAATTCGGCATCAGCCTGAGAGACAGGTATATAATGTTCATGGGCCCGGACCTTAGAAAAACGCCGTGCCTCATTATCCTGTGCACGACCCCATTCATTATCTCACCTTGGACGGGTAAAAAGGTTCTGCAACGGAACTCAACTGTAAAAATAATTTGCTTGGAGCCGAACGAGATTTGGCCGCGTGATATGTTGAGCAATTTGGTGACCGAGAGTAAGTAGCCACACTCGCAGACCTTTATTTGGGACAGGCGGGTTAAGAGATGAGTTGCAATAATGGAAGCTACAGACCTTCTATTCTTGGAAAGGTCCTTTACCGGAACTAATACACCTACTGTTCCTACCACGTCACGCAGCATGAGTGACCTGCAGAGATGAGGGGAAAAAAAGGGGATAAAAAGTTAGATAAAAGGAGGGGTTAATTGCAAATTACACCCGAGGTTTGGTCTAATTACAAATGGACCTAATTATCTTTCCAAATTACAAACAAAACCGTTGAGGTTTGTGAAAGACAACTATGTATCCCTCACGGATTTTGAACATTGATCAGAAAATATTAGACTGATTTGCTCGGGTGCTCTCCTATAGTGTACCGAAAGTTTAAATGTTTAGCATTGATGATGATGCATTAAAATTTTGCCTTTTACTAGATGCTGGTAGTGCCTCTAGCTGACCAGCTCCTCCTCCAAAGAATCAATTTTCTCAACAGACCCCAATCATAAAACTCAAATCCATTATTAATTAGAGAATTCACATATGTATGGGATCGTCTTCCCTGGTTACCACTCGTATACAACATACTGAACATAGCATACATATTTCAATTTGGCAGAATAGATGAGAACTCATTTTCTTGGAAGAGAGAGGTCAAAAAGAGAATGGGTGATGCAGCTCTCTATTTACTCCAACTAAGGAGCAGACTTAACTAGCGATGGACAACATCCAACGGCAACTATAGCAACCATGTCTCATGGAGATTTATTTTGCAATGTTAGTCTATTTGGGGCCAGACTCGCAAGTGGCCGAGTCCCAACAAATTTGCAATTTCCTTCCATAATCTATAGCAAACTGGTGTTGGAAAATGCTCTTCACTCAAA